TTGCCAAACGACAGCCAAGAAACCTTAAGGATTTAGAGAGGATCTGTAAAGAGCAGTGGATCAAAATCCCTCCTGAGATGTGTGCAAACCTGGTGACCAACTACAAAAAACGACTTACCTCTGTGATTGCCAACAAGGGTTTCTGCACCAAGTAGTAAGTCATGTTTTGCTTGGGTATCAAATACTTATTTCACTCACTGAAATGCAAATCAATTTCTAACCTTCATATAATATTTTTTCTGGATTTTTTTGGTTGGTATTCTGTCTCTATACGTTAAAATAAACCTACCATAAAAATTAGGTCTCTATACGTTAAAATAAACCTACCATAAAAATTACAGACCCTTCATTTCTTTGTAAGTGGGCAAACTTACAAAATCAGCAGGGGATCAAATAAATATTTTCCCCACTGTAAGCAAACCGTGAGCCATGAATTCGTCAATAATACATCATCGGTTAGCACCGTAGGAACTCAAACTGTAATAATACCAGCCCAGGAGGTTGAAGAAAAAATCTTCGGATAGAACCGGAAGATTATATTCTTGAAAATAGACTCAGAATTAAATGTAAATTTACCAAACCTGCCTTCGGATAGCACCGAGTGGCCGAGATATGCAACAAAAGCACTCAAAAATTATATTAGGTTTGCGGTGGAAACGCTGCCTGTGTGCAGTCGAGACCAGCCACCGGATAGTACCGTGAAGCACAGGGTATCGCTGACACTACAATCAAATTTATAATATGTACTTATGTGATGAAGAAAAAGAAATCCAAATATATATCTGTCCTTATGGCAGTGCAGAGTGCGCTGTCACAGCTTGGGAGGGCGAATCCACACAACTAGGTTAGCTGTACACGCGCAAATAACAACCTATCACTAGTGAGAAGCGAAAAGAGAATGGGCACCAAGCTACTGAGGTTTATATCCTTGTGGCTCAGTCTGCGTCATGACGTGACCTAGTTGACATTTTTTCTCGACCTATCTAGCTGACGCTGTGATTATCCACTATTGCTTAGCAGCGCCTCTGGCGGTTAGGAGGAATAAAACAGAACTGTAAATGAGTTTTGTTACCGTACTGTGCTCATCATCCGCTATTCCCACCACTTAGTCAAGCCACTCCTCTTTAAAGCATGATGACGTTTTATTTCACATGTCATTACGTTTGCGTTGGCTCTCATGTTGAGCTATTTTGTCCGCAACCATTCAAGTATTTGATTTCTATAGCGAATGATTTGGCGCACATCATTCTCTTTCTATGAAACCTGTAAACCACATTCACCGGTTCTAACTGTATAGTGACACCAACTTTATAGCGGTTTGCCCGAGCATTGCAATTATTTTGCATTTACTAGAATTCAATCAAATGGCTTCCCCAACTAATTTTTGCATCTGTCTTGTGCGAAGCATATTATTTCTTCTGTGCAGTCGTGGCGTAAGAAGTGCGTTGGCGTGCACGTGCACAGCTTAGAGGGAACTCTGTCAGAGACTGAACACATTAACCGTCTCATGACTCAACAATAACATACGTAGATAGAAACCACTGAGTGTGAAGGAAGAGGGGTCACTTTAGGGCACTTCCAGTAGAAAAATGTTTAGTTACACACTAACTAAATGAGAGTCTTCTATGACCTAATACCAGATTAAAATAATAATTATTACGCATTAAAAAGGTCTCTCCTGCTTCTCGGTTCATCGTTGTGCTGGTGAGTGCAAGATCAGCCACTGGTCTTGAGACTAAATCTAAATTTAGATCTAAATGGCAACAGAATGACATCTTGAGGGTCTAAACGCTGGAATGGGAAAAACACTCAATCAAATTGTCCATTTCTAGAGCTTCTTCTTTTCTCTCTTTCCATTAGTCAATAACACAGAGACACACACACACACACACACACACTGGCTGATTCTGCACATTCATCACATCTGTGTGAGCTGTGTGACTGCTGACAGAGGAATCTGTGGGTATGTTCCTAACAGTGTATTACCATAATAAGTACTTTTCGTGCAGCATATAGGCCTATATTGTGCACAGTATGCAAATTTGATTGTGTGTGCGTGGAATATCTGGATCATGGAATATCTGGATCATTTGGCAAAATGTGCAGTGTGCCATACAATGCAGTGGACTTAAAATTAAATGGATATATAATTTATATATTATTTAAAATATGATTCTTTGTATTTAAAATTTGTATATTTTTTTTATAAATATTTATCAATTGAAAATATATATAAATATATATGTAAATAAAATGTCTCATTAACGTTTGTTATTGTTGCATATTATTTCACATACTAATTATATACATTATATACCGCACAATATGCAGCACACTCGTGTTTCATTCCAAACATAAAATCTCTTTCCCTTCCTCTGTTGGGTTTAATCCTGAGCACACATATAGCCAGAAAAAAAACACACACAGATTTACATTAAGAGCAGTATTCACCCTGTTACCTTTCAGCTTTAGAAGAGTTGCTGATGAAGGTCTGAGG